AACTCATTTCCACTTTATATTTTACCCGTTACTTTAATTTCAGGTTCCACGAACACTGGCGGTTTGTTCTGCAGCGGTTGGCCTTCTTAGCAGCCTTTGCTGTCTACCTGGAAAGTGAAAACCTTGTCACACGGGAGGAGGTGGCTCAGATACTCGGAAGTAGGGACCATGTTTTGTTTCAGAACTATCATTATCTCTTTGAAGGTCTCCCTAACTCTGCCATTTCTCTCTGGCAGTCGAGGTTGTGCGAGAGAAGGGCTTTCATCTGGATATTGAAGATTTCCTAGCAGGAGTGCTGATTATGGCCAGTGAACTGGTGAGTTTGGCCGATGGTTTGCTGTTACAATAATTATATTTCAAAACTAGGAACAACACAGCTTAAATTTGCTAAAGAAATATGGGAATGCATCCATTGAAGTTAACAATGTCACACACACACCATATGCGGGTTTAAAAGGTGAATATTGGTTTAGTATTTACTGGACCAAACCAGCACCTTAAGGGCAGATTATACTTCTGCAACCGCAAACGTCAAATGTCGCTTGGGTCTGGTTGCGAACCAGTTTTGCTGGTATGCTTCTGCACCGTCAGTCTTGAATTTCTAGGGACGCACAGCAGTTTCCCGCCAAAGTACAAGGGGGAGCCTATTTGAGAACTCGCGAGAACTTTGGCAGCGCCGGCGGGAGTATTTATCTTCCAAAACAACAATGGCGCGTCTGCCAAGATATCACGGTCACAGGGATGGATCTAGAGTTATTAGACATCGCAGAGGAACAAGGTTCTATTAATGGAGTCAGCAAAAAGACCAATTAGCCTTTTGTCATAGTTGTCCATTGTAGTTGTTCCTCGGTTTTTATCCCGAAAGGCATACCAAGGACAAATTACAGCTTGAAGCTAATTCTACCCAAACTGTGGCTAATTCTACCAAAAAGAGTCAAATGCTCTCTACTTTACTTGACTCAGATGGTAAAACAGAGCTGATGTTGCAGGAAGATATTGGGGAAAACATGCAGCAGAGAATGTGATATCTTTTTAATAGACCGATGGTTATGACAGAGACAGTTAGTAATAAAACCATGCTAAACAACACCTAAGAAACGTTTTGCTTACGGACCACCCTTGCAGCACTCGATGGTCTGTTTGCTGACTTGTCACAGGATGACAGAGGTTAAAGTTTCCCTCCATTCAGAAAGAGCAGAATGACACTCTGTGGTCTCACAGGCCGGTCTGTTTGTAATTCATTTATTGCACCACTAGATGGAGGTAAATCTTAGTGTCTCTTTAAAGGAGGTGAAAGAAAGACAACGCTTCTGTTTCACACATTTTTTTCTTCTGTATTTGTAGTTGATTCTGTTCTCAGTGCCTCTAATGGGATAATGTGTTGCCTTTTTTATGCTATTAAATATCTTCATTTTTGCGCACTGGTTTTTAATATCAAGACAGGAAAATCTTCAGCCTTGGAATATTAAAGTCTTTCATTCTTTTATTATTATTATTGATACGAATAATTTTAAACCACCTTTTGAATAACAGACAGATTAACAATTTCAAAGTCTTAATCATCCTGTGTAATTAACTTCCCTTTATAAAATGTAGTCAAATTTTACAAAGCAGGTGTTGGAGACATCAGACTACAAATCTGAATAAAAGCTATTTCTTTTTAGTACTTATAAAGCTCTCATAAGAACAGATTAGCCATCATTAGATTGGCTAATTAGATCCTGGAGCTTTTTACCTACAAACTTCTAACTTGCAGAGCTTAAACCTGAGGCATAAGAGTTAAAAAGTGTAATTAATATTTTTGACCTACAAACTCCTTACTTCAAAAGATCAAAAGTTATTCTAAGATTTTTTGCTGTAATACAGCATGTGGGCGTGGCATAACCCCAAATTCTGACTTCTTGCCCTAACATAAAAACAAAACAGCCCCAGGCCATGTTTTAGTGAGAATGATGAAACTTGGTA